AGCGTATGCCAGCATACAAGGGACCAGGAGCTGTTCCTGGAGCTCTGGACTATACCTCATTTTCATCAGCATTGTATGGGGAAAGTGATCTGTAATTGGGGACTGACTCTGTGGGCAAGTGAAACTAGATATATTCCAGTTTGCTCCTTGGGGGGAAAAAAAGTAAGCTGACCTCACTACAATTTCTCAAGTTTAGCAGGAACATTCAGTAAGGAGCAATGCCCACGTAGTGTGCAGCATGATGAGTTTTTACGTTGTTTATATGTCCTTGATCAAGCTTATTCAGTGACAGACTGCACTGGCCCCCTGCCTTATCAGATTTGTTTTCGTTTTCTTTAAATTAAAAATGGATAATCCCGAAGTGCCAAGTTAGAAAGCCTCAGGAAAAACAAAAGAAGACAAGCCTTTGGAAAAAAAACATATCTAGCATTTCTTTGATTTTTCAAAACATGAAATGTTTTCAAGAATTCTGAACATTTTATGCAAGTCTTCCACAATCTCCCTCGGTGCACCTCCTTTTTTGCTTTCATACCATGGTAATGCTTTCATCTATAGATACTGGGGTTTAGTATGCTTGTGCAAATGGCACCATATACAAGAGAAAATAAAAACCCAGGTCATACCAAATAATCACATGAGATTGTTTTGTTGTTTCTAATGTGAAACGTGCACAGGAATTCTAGTCTGAGTTTCTAGTGGTATAAAATCACAAATCCTCTGGAGTTTATTCAAAGAGATTGATGATAATAAGGGCATCATCTTAATGGTGATAATAGCCTTCACCTTAAAAAACCAATGCCCAGTTTGAAAGGGCACAGTGTTAGTAGCCTGGATATTATGAGGGACTTCCATATTTTAGGATGGTTGTTAATAGATTGTATCTGCTCTCTGCTATATTCATTGTTCTGTTGCCATTGTTCTTGGTTAATGCTAACAATATTGACATTTTACTACGACTAGTCTAAATTACTTTGTGCAGTCGCTTCCTGCCAGTTATGTTCTTCTCAACAATTTGTAGACAATCAATTTTATCTGAAGCCTAACAATCCCATGAAATAAATGGAAAAATATATGTTCATACAAGCAAAGAAAACTGTACCATCTGCTACTATTAAAACGTGCCTTTAAAATAAAGTCTGCTTTTCAAGCCTTAATACCGATTCAGTTTCTGAGATTAAACTGATACATCTTTAAATATTACTGCATGTCTTCTGGACAACACGGTTCTCTCACCTCATTTTAAAAAAACTTTTCTTTATTTGCTTTATATGTAGTGAGGCATCTATCTTTTTTATTTATGTTTTTTTTTCCAATTAGAGTGTGGATGATTTTTCCTGCTGCTACTCTTCTTCTTCTCAAAGACATTAATACAGCTGATTTTTCAGAAAGTTGGACCCAGGGGCAAATACCTGAAAGAACAGATTTATTTATATATATTTATATTTATATTTATATTTATACATATACATATACATATACATATACATATACATATACATATACATATACATATACATATA